ACTTATTCCTTCAGCTCCCTTTTTTGGGGTCACCATGGGCTGGCTGCAAGGCCACTAAAGGTCACACCTCTGACCAGGTCCTCTTTCTCTGGGTCCTGGGAACCTCTTCTTACTGAACCCTCTGCGGCCTAGGCATGGCATTTAGCCCCAGGGTGCCACACTACTCCCTGTAGTCTCCCACAGCTAGCTCACATTTTCATTAAAGAAAAAAGTCACTTGATTAAATTATCCTCAAATCACGCTATCTGAAGGTCCCACCTATTTCCTGCTGGGACCCCGACAGATGCCAGAAGGGAAGCCTCATTTGATAAAATCTGCACCCCTGAGGTCACTTCCTCTCCTCTGTGTAATTTCCTTCCAGTCAAGGAAGCCCCCTCTGCAACTTCCACATGGGCAACGCTTGGCATTCTTGAAATTTCCCCTTGTCCACCATACATACCCCAAGGCTACTTAAGAGTAAAGAACTCTTTGTTCTGTTCTCCCCATTCATTTCCTTTCACTTCCTTTCTTTTCTACTCCCTGGAAAACCCACTGTCTCTACTGCTAAATTCTAAACAGAACCGTTTGGAAGAAAGGGCTTATTTAGCCAAGGTTTCTCTTTCATTGTTTCATTGGCAGACTGTGCCCTCCCTCCTTCTCCTCCCCTTTCATCTTCTCTGTTCTCCCTGGCCTGGGCCTTTGTCCTCCACTCCAGCCTCCTAGTGCCCTGGGTTCCTTAAGATGCCAATCACACCCGCTTTTCTTTTTGCACCAAGAATATTTCTATTTATCAAGCCAGTGCCCACGACTTTGCCTCCGGGAGGGAAACGTACAAGGGCAGGAACACTTTCCAATCCTCGGGGCTGTTTCTCTGTTCCCTTCTTCATTTCAATTCCAGGACCGTTTTTTTTCTTCCTTGGTTCCCCTTTATGCCTTGCACTGCTCTTGGATGCACTGGTTACCCGGTCCAGCCACAATTCGCTACAGAATTACTGACCCGTACATTAGAAAGGAGATCCAGGTTTCTTTAAACCCACCAAGACGGTATCATCAGGTGTCTGAATTTCCTCTGCCTCTGTTTGGGTTTCCCCAGAAGTAGATACAAGATGAGGATTCCAGGGCAAGCAGTTCACATAGGAAGAGAAGAGGACACCAAGAGGAAAGGGGGAGGGGAGTGAGACAGCCAAGAGAAGGCAGCCCAGGAAGGGTGGGCAACTGCAGCCCACTCCCCATGGAAGCTCTGGAGAAAGGTGTAGAACACACAACCCAGTGAAGGCGAGGAAGAGCAGCTGGGCTATTTCATGGTCTAGGGAGAGACAGCTTTGTGCCTGGGCAGAGCATCCTGCCCCAGCTTTGGAGAAGGTCCTCAGGGAAAAAGATGCAGACAGGGCAGGACTGGGGGGAACCAGTGAGGCCCCAGGGCACACACTTTATGGAGGGGCTTGCTCTCAGGGTCAGGCAGGTGCAGGGTCAACAGGTGAGCCTGAGCAGACCCTGGAATGCTGGGTGCGTCGCCTGCCTCACCCTAGTCCCGGGCCTGGGTGCCAGCAGGAGTTACTGCACAAGGAGGCGGCGGAGCCGTGGGGTGTGGATGGGACACGGACAGCACCCTCTGCTCCCTGTGATGCAGTCTAATCCCTTTCATTGTTCTCCTTGCTGCCTGGAATCCTGCCTTCTCAGATGTGGCTCCTGAGGGGGATACGACTGTCCTCCTCTCTCCCTCCTGTGTCCCATCTCTCCACCCTCTTCCTTCAGGCTCAGAATGTCTTCCTTGATCGACTATCACTGTTCCTAGAGTCATCCTGATTCAGACTTCCTCCATCCATCCCTTTTGGGTGCTCTCTATTTTTGGGGGGAAGCCAGAAGGGAGAGACCCATGGCTCAAGCCCTTTGGGGCCTTGCAGGGAGTCCGTGCATTCCAACATTCAGTCCTGTCTACTGAGCAGCAGCCATAAGCCAGGTCTGGGGACACAGAAGTGCAAGAGAGCCCTAGCTCTGTTGTTGCAGGACACCTATTCTGGTGAGGAGATCAGGCAGCCAGCAGACAGTCATGCAAAGGCTCTCAGATCACGGTAGTGATGAGAACTAAGGAGAAGACATGCCTTGTGCTCTCGGAGTGAATAATGGGGTTCTGACCAAATTATAATGGTCAGAAGAATTCCCTGAGGAAGTGATACCTGAGCTAAGATCTGAAGAATAAGTAGAACTTAGCAGAGCAAAGAGAGGAGGGACGGGCATGTTGATAGAAAAGAGAATGTGCAAAGGCCCTGTGTCACGGATGAGCGTGTAAAGTTCAAGGTACTGAAAGGCCGGTGGGGCTTAACCGAGGAGACTGTGGTGGAGAGGACACAGTGTGAAATGCAATGGAGAGAGGGCTGAGGGCCTTTGGAAAAGAAGGGCTCAACATTGAAGGAAGCCATTTGAAGGGTTTTCTGTAGGACAGTGACATGTTTCAATTCATATTTTGAGGAGGTCCCTCTGGCTTCTGTTAGAGATCAAATAGGATACATTTGGGGGCCAAAGTAGATATGCAACAACCAGGAAGAAGGTGGGCAGAGGCCAGGTGAGATCTGATGATGGCTTGGGCACGGATGCTGAGCGCAGAGGGTGGGCAGTGGGACGTCCAGAAAGATACAGAGGCTTTCGTCCTGGGCTCCTCAGGCTCTGGACCAGATACCTGGCCCGGCCTGGATGCCCTTGTCTCTCGAGGGACAGGGTCTCTTTACTGTGCTCTAATTGTTTGTTTTTTCTATCATTATTCTCTCTTATACTATTGCATCATTGTACCCATTGTACAGAGAGAAGACTAAGGCTCACAGCGAGTACACAAGGTCTTACAGCCTATAATTCAGTGGATCCCATCTGAACTCACCATCTGATATGGGGAACAGACAAGTGGCCAGGTGTTTGAGGGCACTAGTACACGATGGTGCTCAAGCAGAGGATGGCCAGAGCAACCAGAACCTGTACCTGGAATGCGAGTTCCCTGGCAGCAGACTGAGTGTCCCAGTGCCCAGCACGGGGCCTGGCTCAGAGGAGGCCCACACATCATAGGTCTTCATACACATTTCCTGACTGTTTGAACGTCTCTTTCCAACACTACATTTGCAAGAAATCTTTTCTTTTCTTTTTTTTTTTTTTTAAGAAATCTTGCTGTCTGCATTACTCTCTTCCAAGAGACAAATTATAAATGTTTTTCTGATTAGTTCTCCTATTCATAGCCGATTTCTAAATCAGCACAGGAAACAGCTAAGCTAAAACTTCTGCCTCTTTTTTCCTTTACAAGCCGCCTGTATCTTACGCTTTCTTCCTCTAAGCTTTTTCTTAGGCAATGTCTAGACAGTTACAGAAAACAAAACAAAACACTGAACTGTGCTAGAAATAATTTGTTATTCAGGATTTTTTTTTTTTTTTTTTGGCTGAACTGGGTTACTCTGAGAACTGAGACCAAGGGATACCTCGTACCCACTGGTGAGATGTCAAATGGTCCAGGTTGGCTGTGCCATGGCAGACAGGGGCTGTTGTTGACACCTGTTCTAATCAGAGTATGTGCTTGCCATTTTGTATGAGGTAAGTTTGTCCTCTGTATTTATGTTGTGTAGAAGGCTGTGCACACCAGTATTTGGCAATGATCATACTTGTGTGTGAACTGTGTGTGGTGTGTAGTTCTGTGGCAGTCTCTCTCTCCCTCTCCTCCCACCACTGAATATCATGCAGGGTCCCACACAAGTACTGTCACTGCCCTTGTTCAGGCCCCCTCGTCCCTTGCTAGGACTCTTACAGTAGCCTAAGTGGTCCCTCTGCCTCCAGCCTCTCTCAGTCAAGTCCACCTTCCCAATAAGCTGTCCTGGTGATCCTTCCAAAACAGACATCAGATTATGCTTCCCTGCCCCAACCTGGCTTATTCCACATCCCCACATGGGTATTCAGTGAATTTCGCTTAAAATAAGGAGGATGGTGTATCCACACTGCTCATCGGTGACCCTGAGAAAGTAACTCTATGGTTATGAGTAATGGTGCCAGGTACCGTGCCAAGGGTTTTACGAACCTTTTTTCAACCATCCTATCTTCATTCTTTTCCTCACTTTAAAGGCGAGAAAACTGAAGCTCAGAGAGGTCAGGTCACCTGCCCAGGGCCCCACAGCTGGGATAGGAGCCCAGGCAGTCTGACTCCAGAGCGCTCGAGCTACTCTGTGCCACTGCTTTCATCAAATCACACACCAGGGGGCGCTTCCAGGAACGCTAGAGCACACTGCTGAGCAAAAGGCAATGTTCTTCCACGCCTCCCCCCAGGTCCACACAAAGCAAGCTTTCTGCTGCAGGCCCAGGGCCCCCAAACACCCGTGCCGACATAGGCCCTGAGTGGCAGGCACTCACCGCAGGGCCCTGCCCCAGCCAGCAGTGGGGTCTGGCAGGAGTCGCGATGCCCTACACTCTACCTCTTGTGTGAAGAGGGTAACCTTGGGCTCCCCTGAGCCCTGAGCTGGCCCAAACCCTCAGCTGCAAGCCAGAGTTCCTGGCTCCTTCTGAGCGCCCATCCTTGCTTGGGACTCGACCTCCTTGGAATAGCATCATCTCTCACCTAGGTGTTCTCAGCCCCTCCTTCACGGGCTGGACCTTGCTCTCCACCCCCAAGGTGCTGCCATGATGGGTTTTTGCAGAGGGGGCCTGCTGGGAACACCCTTGTGGCTGGGCTTCCTCCCCGACCTGAAGAATTCTTGAGCGGGCAAGATCCAAGCTTCAGAGGTTTCCTGCATCTACTGTGCCAGCTCACTTTGCCCGTGTATGCCCGCCCAATGCCCGCCCAGCTCCCTGCCTGCCACCTCTGGCTGAGATCAGCCATGCTCTGTCATCCAGGCCAGGGATGGCAGGGAGGCTGAGACAGAGCTCCATGCTTAGCATGTGGACCCAAATCTGGAAACATCAAGGATTATTTGGTAACAAATTCCAGATAAATAATAGTGATAGCTTATTTTCATCTGTGTGCCCAAAGCCTGGAGCCCTCCCAGAAGGTCACCTACAGGATATGATGTTGCCGTATCGATTCTTGTTGCGGTTTTCATCCTCTTTGGCTGTATCCCACGAGGCTGTCTGCCCCTCCGGTAAGGCCTAGAAAGAAAGGACAGAGTGATTAGAATGGCTTGAGATAGGAGCTTTATCTGGGTGTCCACGGGGAAAACGAGACCCACTGTGATGGGTCACATAGTGCAAAAGACTGTGTGTTCTTGGATGGAGCCTGGGGAGAACACAGACTTGTTTCCTCCCTGGCTTATTCACCTGTTCAGGGACTCAAATGTTACTGATGTCTTTCGTGTGTCATGAGCTCAAATCTGTTGCAGTATGGGAGTCATTTGTTCATTCGTTCACTTGACGGATATTTGAATCCCTAATATGTGTTTGGTGCTATTCTAGGTACTTGGGATACAGAGAAATAGACAAAGCCCCCTTGAGCTTTCAGTCAACTGGGAGATGCAGCAAACGAACAAGCAAACATATATAATTTTAAATAGTGTAAAATTCTGTGAAGAGAATAAAGCAGGGTAGAGGTATAGTTATCGTGCATGAGAATTATTTTGGATTGCACAGTCTGGGAGGGCTTCTCTGAGGAGGTAACATTTAAACTAATTCCTTCATGACGTGAAAAAGCCGGTCATGCCAAGAAAAGTGGGAAGTGTTTTCCAGGCAGAGAGGACAGTGGAGGCAAAGGTGGTAACCGAGTGACCATGTTCAAGGATGAGGTGGGGAAGGCAGTGACAAAAGCATCTGGAGAGGCAGGGAGAGTTCAGGCTTTGTGGTCATTGGTAACGAGTTGGGTATTATTCCAGGTGTGATAGGAAACCATTTGAGGGTTTTGAGCAGGGCAGTTAGCTAATTTGATTTATATTTTACAAAGCACATTCTGGCTCATGTATGGAATAGAGACTCCAGGAGGCCCAGGGAGGAAGCAGGGAGATCAGTTAGGAAGTTGTTACAATAGTCCTGCCAAGAGATGATGGTACCTTGGACCAAGATGGTACAGTAGATGTGGTGGGAAGTGATTACTTTTAGGATGTTCAGTTGAATATTGCAGATTTTGGTTCTCCCCCAGAAGCAGCCTCAGCAACAAGGATTCTAGTATGAGATTTGCGATCCTAAGGAGCTCATGGGTGGGAGAGTGGGAAAAGTCAGACAATCGAGGGAAGAATGCCAATAAATACAGGGTACATCAACGAACAAATAACCACTGCGCCTGAGGCTTAATCCCATGGGCCCATCTCATGGCTCAGAGTTGTTCTCCCAGAGGAAGAAGGGAGTTGGGGTATTTATCCCCCAGGTCCCATCCATCACTGATTGAGGACAACTCTTAGGAAATCCCTTGGCACTTCTGTCATGCTCTGTAGACAAGGTGTGCATACTCTTTTGTCTTAAGGAAGCACTCAGGCAAAAAGTCTCAAGTGCTTGCAGGAGGCAGGCACTGGGCGGGCACACACGGGCAAAGTGAGTGTGGAGGGGATGTGGGCAGGGCACCAACACATCTACTACAGACGAGGACTATGAAGGAAAGAGAAGGATGGAGGCTGACTGGTTAAAGAACGGAGTGGAGGGTCGCATCTTTTATTGAGATGGAGAAGAAACAGATGGGGGAGAAACAGGTTTGGGGAAGCACGAATTAAATGTTGTGTTCTGGGTACATAAAGTATTGAATACTTAGAACCATGTATAGCACTTGCTTCTAAACATGTTCAAAACAGTAAAAGAACAGGAGCAGCAGCCATGTTTGAGATGACTAGTCAACTTTCAAGCTGAGATACTGAGCCGGAAGTTGGACACAGAGGTTCAGAGCCAGAGTTAGAAGGAAGGAAGAGATGGGACTCATCAGTTTAAGAGAAGACAGACGAGTGGACAACCATGTGACGTGATCTAACAGTTATGAGCCAAGTGTTATGGAAACACTGGGGAGGGTGCAGCCACCTATCTCACAGAGAAGGAAGAGGGGCATTTCAGGGAGTGGGAACAGCTTTAGAAAAGCTGCAGGAGCATGAATGTCAGACCACACCTTGACTACTGCCCCTACCCTGTCTCTGGTAGAACAGGCTGGATGCCCTGCTCACGGCCCCTGCACTACTTCTGAGACTGAATTTGCTACCTCTTCAGGAGCAAATAGCTACTCCTGTCAGCAGTGCAGGGGAGAGGAGCTTCCCGTCATCTTAATACACCAGACTTGACTGTGCCCACCTATTTCTTAGCAGGTCTACATCCTAAGCGAGGAGAAGTCTGAAACCTGATGGGTCAGAAATTCAGCCATTCAGTGGGCAATGTTTTATGGGCAGGCAGGACCACTGTCTATTCAAAGCCCAGACCATGCGTGATTCCCCCTTTCTTGCTTCCAGTCTCCCACGTCTCTTCCAAGCCAGCCTGGGTGGGTCTTCTTCTAGAGCAGGAGTTGGCAACTTTTTCTGGAGTGGGTCAGATAACAGGCAGCATGGGCTTGGTAAGCCACGCAGTCTCTGTTCCAAGTACTCATACTCAACTCCACCGTTGTAGAGAGAACACAGTCCTAGACACAATGCAAACACATGGGCATGTCTGTGTTCCACTAAAAATTGATTTACAAAAAACAAGTGTTGGGCTGGATTTAGCCTGTGGCTGTAGTTTGCTGACCTTTTCTCTAGAAGCATGACCATGATCCTCCTCTGTGCAGTGGTTGGGTAGATAGAATGGGTGCCCATTCTGCTACCTAGCCATACGAGATTGAATGAAGATGGGGTGAGAGGTCCTTGCCTAGGTTAAGCCATGTTCTCTAACTTAGTTTTGCCCAGGGTTTTACACTGGGGTAACAGAGTGCCTTCCCAGCAACTACTTGATCAGAATGTGGTTCTTTTTGTGTCAGAAACCCTTAGACTGGTACCCCGGAGGAAAGGCAAAACAGGTTCTAGGCTCTGCCCTAAATCTGAGTGTGGAAAAGTGCTATGGAGATAGGAGTGTGCTCGTTCTGCAAATGGACAGCTTGTCTCTCCTCTTTCCCCCCCTCATCCTGTATTCACTCATTATAATTGACCGTCACCCTGCATCCCTCTTGCCACCAGTGCAGACCATCTGCAGACCCCAAATGGTTCGTGCTTTGGCGTGGAACTCTTAGAACCCAGATTCCAGCCCTTGGCCTCATCGTCTCACCCGAGCCAGGTAGCTCCAGCTCTTTCAGGCAACTTGCCAGGCCTATATACTCCGGGTTCTCTGCAGGGGTGGGGAGTGCTTGTCTCAGCTGTAGCATTAGACTTCTTGATGTTTAAGCTGACATTCTGGGGATGGATTTCTACCTGAAACCCTCTGTAATAAAAGCCACTATTCATCTAATATCCACCTAAAGTGCTATGAAACCGAGAATAGCACCCTCTGAATGTTTTCATACTCATTTTTTGGGCAAAAAGGATCTGCTGGCTACTCATTATGTGCCAGGATTCAGGTTACACACACAGTTAGATTAAGGTTTTGTAATGGCTGAACACTCGAATTGTCTGGGGAAGCTTTAAAACTCCCAGGCCCTACCCCAGACCATTAAATCAGGGTCTAATCAGGCATCAGTAGTATTTAAAGCTCCCCAGGTGATTCTAATGTGCAGCCATGATTCTTGCAAATAGTGAATTTACCTGGAGAAATACTTTCCCACAGGTCTCCTCTTGCTTTGGATTTGTCCCCTCCAATCCATTCTCCTGTATAATCAGAGAGATCTTTCTAATATGTGAATAGGACCCAGTTACTCCCCTTGTCACTGTCACTTCAGTATAAATTCCAAACTCTTTAGTACAAGGTCCTTAATGATTTCACCCCATATGCCCCTCCAGCCTCATTTCTTACCCTTAAAACAATATTTCAGTGATTAGCAACTAAACACAATGCCAGAGACAATTTCAGGTGTTACAGACTTCTGAAACTGACTATATACACAGTGTTCCCTCTGCCTGAAATTCTCTTCCACCTGAGTCTCGCTGGTAAACTCCTACATATCCTTCAAAACCCAGTTCAAGCATCTTCTCTTTTGTGAAACCTTCCTTGCTTACTTTCCCACCATCCCACTGCATCCCCAGCTAGTCAGTCACTTCTTTTATTAGCTGGACTCCTTTACATCTGATAATTTGAATGTCTTGTCTTCCAACCTGGTGATGGGCTACTCCAGGTAAAGGGTAGCATCTTATTTATGTCTGTATCTTCATAACCCAATACTGGCTTTGTATTTCATATGTGCTTGCATCACCCCTTTTGAATAAACGAATGGATGGACAGATGGAAAAAAAAATAGTGTGTGAGATGGCTTCTGTGCATACAGAGGCAAAGATCCTGGAATCTCAGAGGTGTAAGTGGCCTTGAAAATAATTTGTTTGTGCTCCCTTCCACAATGGCCTTCCAGGCAGCTGATAAGCTGATCCCTAACATCTGTTAATTGGATACCATCAAACTTGGATGCCCTTGGTGATGGAGAGCTCACTACACCAAAAAGCTTCCTGCCTCACTTTTGGACAGACCCTCTGGGCATTTCTTTGTTTACTCTGCCTCCACGTACTTCGCCTTTGCCCTGATCCAAGGGGCCCCACAGAGTATGTATGCACCCTCTGCACCACGATACTGCAGAAGTTTAATGACCGTCCCTGCCCACCCTCAGAGTCCTGAAATGGCACAGTTTGGGAGTCCTTTCAACATCCATGCTCTTCAGGATAAACCCAGTGCGAAGATATCCTTTGAAAAATCCTAGATAGTTGTGATGAGTGGCATGTCTCCGTGGGAGATCATGCAGGCTCCTGGCACAGTCTTGGGAGCCTCTGTGTCCCCCTGGTGGGGGATGAAGGAGAATGTGTTGGCCCCGGGGGCCGTGATGATGTTGACAAAGGCTGAGAGGCAACCTCAAGCAGCCGTCCAGGAGTGAGTGGTAATGACCCCTTAGTTTGCAGACTTTGATCACATATCCATTTCCATTTTTAGGGAGCTGCAACCTAATAGGGGATAATCTCAGGAAAGAAAAAAATATGAGGGGGTACAAGTATGAAAGGGAGTCTCATCTCCGTCTTCAAAGTGAGCCAGCCGAGGGGGATTATTTTTGCATTAGTGGCTAGTTGCAGTAGATTGACCAGGGAATG